GAGACATACTATACATCAAAAATTTAGGTCTGTTTTTTGTGATTGTCACAATATAAAACCTTTTCACGGTAGCATTTATACTTTTAAAACTACAAGCGTTTGAAAATGGCAATCGCCAGTGAACTTGGCAAGTTTAAACAGCCTGTTTAGAGCAGAGCTTCTCACACACCTGTGACTGACTGAGGTAACAGGTGCAACCAAAGGTCACTCAGGGGGCAGCTGAGTCACATTAGAGTGAGAAAGCTGCAGTGTGAAAGAAAGAAAAAAATCAGAACATGATTTGTAAAACTGCCATAACTATGTCATTTTCAAGCCCACCTACACATATCTTATATCAAAACGTTCAGCTAACCCTGCTGTCACTAAAAATGTTCACGAATGCCAGTAGTGTACCGCGCTCCAATATATTCTACCTTATGTGATATAATGAATTCATAAGTGTACACCGATAAAAATAATTACATCAATTAATTATACTTAAATATATGATTTGTGTAAATATATAAAAATAAATTAATTTATCAATGTGAAAAAACAAAAAAAATGAATGAAAAATATAAATAAAAAATAAAAAATATTTGCAGTGGGAATGACAGTTCCTTCTGTATAAATGAGATGGTGTTATTATTCAGTCTGGATATAAAAAAAAATAAAAATAAAATAAAAAAAAAAAAAAAAAATTAAAAAATAAAAAAAAATAAAATAAAATAAAAATAAAAAAAAATAAAAAAAAATAAAAAAAAAAAAAAATTAAAATTAAAAAAAAAAAAAAAAAATTAAAAAAAATGAAGTTCCTTCTGTAAAATAAAAAAATAAAAATTTCATCATAAAAATAAAAAAAAATAAAATAAAAAAAAAAAAAAAAAAAAATAAAAAAAAAAAAATAAAAATAAAATAAAAATAAAATAAAAAAATAAAATAAAATAAAATAAAATAAAATAAAAATAAAATAAAATAAAATAAAATAAAATGAAAATGAAAAAAAAAAAAAAAAAAAAAAATAAAAAAATGAAAAAAAATTAAAATTAAAAATAAAATAAAATTGATATCCCGGATAAGACACTAAAATTAAAATTTAAAATATAATTAATAAAATTTTAGCACGCAATTAATTAAAAATAAAAATAAAATGTAATATTTTATTTATATATTTTTCACATATAATAAAAATAAAAATTTTTTATAAAATTAAATCAAAATAAAAATAAAAAAAATTTATATATAAAAAAAAACTCCTAGTGGCTCACAAGTAAAATTAAAATTTTTAAAAAAAATTCAATAGGACATACCCTTATAAAAAATAAAAAAATAACCATTTGTTTGCACCTCAAAAAATTGACTTTAAAATTGAAAAATCCACTCTAAAATTAAAAGAAATTTTAAAAACGTTTTTAAAAATGCGACTTGCCTTCATTTTTTTAAAATATCTTTCAGAGGCATACTATAAATCAAAATTTAGGTCTGTTTCTTGTAATTGATTGTCACAATATAAACGGTTTCATTTTCTTTTTTATATTTTTAATTAATACTAATTTTGCAAGATGGCAATCGCCAGTGAACTTGGCAAAGTTTAAAAAGCCTGTTTAGAACAGACATGCTGACATTCCTCTCAGTGTGAGTTGTCATAGCAACCCAGCTGTCTCAGCACAGTGAGCCTACTCCGCCCTCTCCAGGTGCAGCAACCAAAGGTCACTCAAGAGGCAGATGACTCACCAGGCTGGACTGTGAGCTTCAAAATACAAGCTGAAATGCATTTCTCACTATCAGGCTTGCAATGTGCACTGCTTACATTTCATCAATCATTTGGTAAAGGTTGCGGCAAGAACACTTTACACAATTTCCCCAGAAATTGTAGAAATTGTAGATTTTCTAGTTTTTATTCTTATTCTTATTATTATAGCAAATTTGCCACGCTAACTCCTCCCACAGTTTTTACACTACAAAGACAAGTAATATATCAAAAAACGTGCGGATTGTTCCCGATCGGATTGCTTTACTTTGTGGAACGTTTCGCCGAATCGTTCACGAAATATCGCGGTTTTTGTGGCAAAATTTTCCCATAGGAATGCATTAGAGTGAGCAAGCACAAAGCTAGAGTGTGCAAAGGAAAAATCAGAAAAATCAGAACATGATTTGTAAACTGCCATCACTCTTTCATTTTCAAGCCCACCTACACATATATCTTATATCAAAACGTTCAGCTAACCCTGCTGTCACTAAAAATGTTCACGGCTAGGACATACTCTTGATAGTTTTCAGAATATGACCATTTGTTTGCACACATCACCCCTCCCATTGACTTTCATTGAAACTCCACTGTAGACACACAGACATTTTAAGGGACGTTTTTAAACTGCGACTGTGCCTTCATTTTTTATCTTTCAGAGACATACTATACATCAAAACTGTAGATATTTTTCTTGTGATTGTCACAATATCAACCTTTTCACGGTAGCTTTTATACTTTTAAAACTACAAGCATTTGAAGATGGCAATCGCCAGTGAACTTGCCAAGTTTAAAAAGCCTGTTTACAGCACAGCTAATGACATTCCTGACAGAGTGAGTTGCTATAGCAACCAAACATGACTCACACGCAGCTGAGTCACACAGGCTGGACTGTGAGATGGTAAATACAAGCTGAAATGCATTTTCTCCCTCTGTCAGGCTTGCAATGTGCACTGCTTACATGTCATCGTTACTTGGTAAAGGTGGCGGCAAGAACACTTTACACAATTTCCCCAGAAATTGTAGATTTTCTTGTTCTTATTCTTATTATTATAGCAAATTTGCCACGCTAACTCCTCCCACAGTTTTTACACTACAAAGACAAGTAATATATCAAAACGTGCGGATTGTTCCCGATCGGATTGCTATTACTTTGTGGAACGTTTCGCCGAATCGTTCAAGAAATATCGCGGTTTTTGTGGCGAAATTTTCCCATAGGAATGCATTGAGCAGCACAGCACAGCTAGAGTGTGCAAAGGAAAAATCAGAATCAGAACATGATTTGTAAACTGCCATCACTCTTTCATTTTCAAGCCCACCTACACATATCTTATATCAAAACGTTCAGCTAACCCTGCTGTCACTAAAAATGTTCACGGCTAGGACATACTCCTGATAGTTTTTACAATATGACCATTTGTTTGGACCTCACCCCTCCCATTGACTTTCATTGAAACTTCACTCACAGCCACCTGACATTTTAAGGGACTTTTTTTAAACTGCGACTGTGCCTTCATTTTTAATATTTCAGACATACTATACATCAAAATTTAGGTCTGCTCTTATGATTCTTACAATATCAAGCTCTTTGCTGTAGCATTTATACTTTTAAAACTACAACCGTTTGAAGATGGCAATCGCCAGTGATGTCAGCAACTTGGAGCAGTTTGTTTATAACCGTGACTCTGCCCTTGCTGTGAGGGGAGTTGCCATAGGAACCCAGCTGTGTGAGCAGGAAGCAGAGAGACAAAAGCTACTCCGCCCACTCCAGTTGTGTGGAGGCAAGAACACCACACAATTTCCACAGAAATTGTAAAGACACCAGTGAAGTGAGCAATTTTAAGCAGTTTGTTTTTAACCGCTCTTTTCTGCCATATTTGAAATCTAATTTTGAATTCGGGACAGTTTTCTCGGCTTTTGGGTTAAAGGTTGGGAAATAATTTTTCTATAGTAGAGAGTATTTGAGGTGTTTCAACTAGCTACATTTCTGAAAATAAATTAGAGCTGTGTGAATATCATCATGCCATCTAAAGGAAAGAGATCTAAAGCTGCAAAGATACGCTGGGCTAAACTTGACCCATTTTCAGACCCAAGCTTTTGGAAATGGAGGTTTGTGACTGGAGAACCCCACAGCAGCATAGTGGAAATGGAGGTTTGTGACATTCTTGATCCAGAGCCCCACAGCAGCATAGTGGAAATGGAGGTTTGTGACAGTGAATGTGCCCTCGAGGTATATAGTGAACCTGTGGTGTCATCATTCCCATGTTCAACTCAGTGTCAAGTTCAAGAGCACAGTGACAGTGTGATGGGCACTTCTGAAAACCATGGCATGCAAGAACCATGTGTACCAAGTGAGATATCTGTGCAGGCATCATTTCATCAGGGTCATCATGGCTATGGAAGGTTAAGGAACAAACAGTGTACATGCATGGCTCTGACATTTTTGGCATACCACAGTGAGCTTAATGATGTGAGGAAGGATGATCTTGATCAAATACTCAAGAAGGGCAACAGCTTGTATGGCACAACAATAAAACAGCTAAAAAGAAGAAATGTCTATCAGCACCAACACTTGACAATGGAAGAAGTGCCCCTCAGAGTCAACACTGACAAATATGAGTATAATGTTGTTAAATCTACAGTGTTATCGGGATGTGTGAGAGCCACGGTCGACAGTGACAACCAAGGTTGGTTTGTTGACCTCTCAAAAAGACTTCAGTGCCTCAATGCAGATGTTACACATGCACTTTTTATAGTAACGCCATTTTGTATTGCATTGTTCAGAGACAAGTCTGGGAGATATGGACTGTTTGATTCTCATAGTCGAAATAAAGATGGACTTCCTGCCACTGGAAAAGGAAAAGCTGTTATGATCACTTTTACACATTTGAGTGATATGGGAGCAAGGATTTATAAGTTGTATGAATTGCTCCTTATAGACACCAGAGGCCCTATTGATGGACTGCAGTATGACTTCATGCCAGTCTCATTTCATTGTGCAAGACGTCTGTCAGATGGTTTGCTGTCCCCACCGGTGCAATCTGACAAACCACATAATGGAAAGCATGTGGAGAACAAAGTTACACAGATGACCAAAGATGCAACACACACTGGATTCCCAGCCAACAAGTATTCTACACGGTCACTTGATGCAAAATCCTCACAGGGCATATGGAAGGACAGTAAGGCATTTTCCAAATTAAATGTACAGCAGCGACAAAAAAAAACTGAACACAAGACACAGAAATGAAAGAAGGCGTGATTTCAAGGGTACAAAGATGTCTGTCACCAATAAGAAGAGGACTTACATCATCAGCCGATACAGAGAAGATGCTGATTTTAAGTTGAAACAGAAGGAATACATCACCAGAAAATATGCGACAATGCCAATTTTCAACTTGAAGAAAAAGCAATACATCACCAGAAAATATGCAACAGATTGTTTCAAGTTAAAGCAAAAATATGCGACAGATGCCAATTTTAATTACAATACATCACCAGCAAATGCATGTTTCGAAAGCAGATGCCAATTTTAACTTGAAGAAGAAGCAATACATCACCAGAAAATATGCAACAGATGCATGTTTCAAGTTAAAGCAGAAGCAATACACAACCAGCAAATATGCGACAGATGCCAATTTTAACTTGAAGAAGAAGCAATACATCACCAGAAAATATAACAGATGCATGTGTTTCAAGTTAAAGCAGAAGCAATACACAACCAGCAAATGCTGCCAATTTTACAAGAAAAATACATCACCAGAAAATCATAATGATCCTGCTTTCAGAAAACATCACTTGCAACAGTGCATGAGTTACATGAAAATGAAGCGTCACACTCAAGCAGATTTTCACATAATCTATAAGATGCAATGTGCCTTCAAAATAAGAATGAAATACAGACGATGGACTCGTGTCATGCAGGAATGCTGTCAACCAGTGGACAACAGCCTAATGCAGACAGCTATATCCACTTTCCATAAATGCATTAAAGCTGGGCCCACTTTTGTGTGCACGATGTGTCATCGTACCCTTTTCCCTAACCAAGTGAAACATTGCATTCACAGCAATTACAAGAAGAATCTACATATTGTTGCTGCTGCCTGTTTGACAGGGAAATATGTCCATGTGTGCAACAATCACTGTCAAGGCCCTGAACAATGCACCATACCAGATGAAAGGACCAAAGAATGGATTTGTCACAACTGTGATTCACATTTAAAAGCAGGACACAAATCATCCATCGCTGTGGCTAACAACATGGAGCTGGCGCCCATTCCCCCAGAACTCTGCGATTTGAATGTGCTGGAAAGACAACTTTTGGCCAAAATACTGCCATTTGCCAAGATCATCACACTTCCCAAAGGTCGACAGGCAGCTATACACGGCGCTGTAGTGTGTGTGTGCCATCCGAGGTGGAAACCACGGTCAATACTCTACCAAGATCACACAGCACATCCCAGTTACACAGAGTGAAGCTGAAAAGACGTCTGACTTACAAAGGCCACCAGCTGTTTCACAATGTCAACATGAGAAATGTAGTAGTAGGTCTGTCAAAACTCATTGACACACACCCCGACTACAGTGACATTTCAATCAGAGTGGATGAGCCAATCGCTGATGATGATGCTGATAATGATGATGGCATGCAACTCGACAGTTGTGATGAAACTGAAATGATGGAGATACTTGAATGCATCGAAAATTGTGATCCATCAGAGGTACAGTCTGCATGTTTACCAGCTGCTTCTGAGCAACAGGAAGGCCATAACCAACAACCTCCCAATGCAGAGGATGAGAAGGGTGCACTAAGACCTGGAATTGGACTAGACAGTTGTTTACAGCCATCTGACCTTGGAGAGGAAGCACTGACACATGGTGATGGAATATTCAGCATTGCACCTGCACAAGGAAACACACCTGTCAGCTTCTTTAAAGTTCCAAGGCTTGAGGCAATGGCTTTCCCTGTTCAGTTCCCTACTGGACAGAATACATTTGACCAGGCAAGACAAGTCAAACTGTCCCCGAGCATGTATTTCAATGCAAGGCTTTTTTGTGTTGATACTCGTTTTGCAAGAGACACAAGCTACCTCTTCTTTGCGCAGTTTGTCACAGAGACACACATGGCCAAAAGCAGCATGTCCATCCAGTTAAGAAAAGGAAAACCAAATACCAGGGATGGACGGAAAATATCCAACAAGTTGCTACAGGACAAGCGTGAGGTTGAGAGGTTGGTGCGAAACCGAGATGCCACTAGGTTCATGCAACCACTGAGAGGGAGTCCAGCTTACTGGGATAAAAATCTAAAGAATTTGCTAGCCATGGTCAGACAATTGGGTAAGCCAACTTTTTTTCTTACCTTCTCTGCTGCAGAATTCAGATGGCCAGAGGTAATAACGGCAATAAAGGCACAACAAGCTCAAAAGGGTGGATTTTGCAGAGCTAGACTGGGCTGAAAAGTGTGACATTCTTCGAGGAAACCCAGTGACCACCATGCGCATGTTTGACAAACGGGTTGATGCTCTGATGCGAGAGCTGCTGTTGGGTCCTGCACAGCCAATCGGTGAAGTTATCGACTACTTTTACCGGGTTGAATTTCAGGCGAGAGGGAGCCCTCATATACATTGTCTCTGTTGGGTAGCAGGAGCTCCTATATTTGGACAACACACAGTGATGACAAGGTGTGTGCCTTTATAGATCATAACATCTCATGCCAGCTGCCTGATGAAGGCAAACAGGCCTTACTTCACAGATTTGTAACAGAACTTCAAATGCACAGCAGATCTCATTCAAAATCGTGCAAGAAAGGTAACAGAGTATGCAGATTTGGATTTCCAAAGCCACCGGTTAGAAAAACCAGGATAACTTATCCGATGCCAGAAGAACAAGGAGATTGTGCAATGAAACCACAAGCAGCCAAAAACAAACTGAAACCAGTCTGGGATTTGCTTAATAACCCGAAAGTGCAGCTTGAAGACATGTCACAGCTACTGGCACAGTGTGATATGACTTTAAATCAGTACAACTCATACATTGAGGCATTGACCTCCTCTAGCGTTATTCTAATGAAGCGTGATGTCAAGGACTGCTGGGTGAACAACTACAATCCACATTTGCTGATGGCCTGGAATGCCAACATGGACATCCAGTACATTCTTGATGAGTATGGTTGCATCATGTACATGTTGTCCTACATATCCAAACCAGAACGCGAGCTTAGTGACTATCTCAAAACAATAGTCAAAGAAATGAGCCCAGAAACAGAGACAGAACGAGAAGAAATGAAAGAAGTTCTTCAGGCTTATTCAAAACACAGAGAGGTCAGCGCCCAGGAGTCTGTGGCCCGTACGTGCAGCCTGAAAATGAAGTCTTGCTCACGTGAGGTTGTTTTTCTGCCAACTGCTGACAACACACTGAAAATGAGTCTCCCGCTCAGTGCGTTGCAGAACAAACCAGCCGATTCTCTTAATGTGTGGATGACGAGTTTTGTCGACAAATACAGAGCCAGACCCGAAACACCAGAGTTTGAGTCCATGTGTCTGGCAGACTTTGCATCCCATTACAGGGTTGTCTATGGCAAGCAAAAGGAAGATGGCAAGCAAAAGGAAGACGGCAAGCGTGTCAGCCTATTGAATGAAATGGGAATGATTCAAAAACGCACGAGAGGGAATCCTGCAATCATCAGGTACGCACGCTTCTCAGAGAAGAAGGACCCCGAGAACTACTACGGCAGACTGCTTAAACTCTACCTCCCCCACCGTTCAGAGTCATCACTGAAAACTGTAAGGTTGCCAACATACCAGGCGTTTTACCAAGGCGCCTGTGTAAGCTTACCAGGAGAAGAAGCAATCCGAGCAGTGTCTGCAATTGTTACCAGCAACCAAAAAAAGTTCGAACAACACAACAAAATTGTGGAACAAGTCTTGGATGACTTTGTAAAAAACGGCCCTGTTGAAGATGCTTGGAACACCTTTGCCCCAGAAGCCGAGTTGGATAGGTTGGAATGTATAGAGGAACGCAAAGAAGGGGAGCCACTTCATGAGAATGAACAAGATGATGTTCCGGAGTATACACGTCACAAACAAACAGGTGGAATTTCGCTTACTGTGAAGGCCCCACAAATGTGCCCTGATTTCCTTAGGAAAATGTACAGAAACCTTAACCGGACGCAAGCTCAGACATTCTACTCAGTTTGTGACTGGTGCACTAACCGCGTGAGTGGCCTAAATCCTGACCCATTCTATTACTTTGTCACTGGTGGCGCAGGGACAGGCAAATCACACCTGATAAAGTGCATCTATGCTGAGGCAACAAAGATACTCAGTAAACGTCCCAGACTACGTGAGGAAGCAGACATATCCATGCCCAGCGTTTTACTAACTGCATTTACAGGAACAGCAGCTTTCAACATTTCAGGCAACACTTTGCATTCTCTGCTGAAGTTGCCAAGAAGCTTGAAGCCACCCTACCAAGGACTTGGAAATCTCATAGATGAAGTGAGGGCACAGCTGTCAAATGCGGAGATCATTGTTATTGATGAGGTGTCAATGATTTCAAAGCCCCTGTTTGCCTACATCAACTGGAGATTACAGCAAATCAAAGGCAGTAAGAAACCTTTTGGTGGTATGTCAGTACTAGCAGTAGGAGACTTTTACCAGGTCCCCCACTGGGAAAAAGTAAGCCACTCTGCGTGTTTGAGGAAAATAGCTATGACGTCTGGAAAGACTACTTTCAGATGATCACGCTGACAGAAATCATGCGACAGAAGGATGACATTTCATTTGCTGAGCTTTTGAATAGAATCAGAGTGAAGCAGACGACTGGGCACCTTAAGCAATGATGACAAAGCTCTGCTTGCTCAGGCTTTGACAGATCCCACCCACTACCCTAATGATGTGCTGCACATCTTTGCCACCAACAAAGAGGTTCACAAACATAATGCCGCAACTGTGTCTGTTCTCCATTCAAACGTCACCAACATATATGCCGACGATTACAAAAAAGACCCTAAAACAGGAGTGATGCAAAGGCAAGACCAACCCTTCAAAGGACACAAAGACAATCTGATTGACACACTGCAAGCAGCTGAAGGTGCCCGTATCATGATCACAAGAAACATTGATGTTGAAGACGGGCTTGTTAACGGGACATTTGGCAAGATTGCAAGAATAATCATCCAGACTGAGAATGGTGCTACTACGGTAAACAAGCTTGGCCTTGTGCTGGACAATCCAAATGCAGGACAGAGATACCGTAACAAGTCGTCTGGTGATGCTGACAACTTGGTGTACTTGGAAAGGGTAGAGGAAAACCTGAGACAGAAAGGAGTTGTTCGCAGGCAGTTCCCCCTGAAGTTGGCTTTTGCATGTACGATTCATAAGTGTCAGGGGATGTCGATACAGTCAGCAGTGGTCTCATTGAAACGGGTCTTCCAACCGGGAATGGCCTATGTTGCTCTGAGTAGAACGACTACACTGCAAGGACTGCACATAACCGACTTTGATGAGAAGAAGATCTTTGCTGATCCTGAAATCACAGCCTCCCTGGACTCAATGAAGAATGCATCACTGGAAAGTGTTATGCCCCTCTTAAAGTTTCTACAGACAACAGACAAACAGCAAACATTAACAATTATCCATCACAACACGGAAGGATTACCAGCTCACATTGAAGATATCAAATCTCACCACGAGTTGATACTTGGAGATGTTTTATGTTTCACTGAAACTCATCTCTCAGGC